CATATGTTGCATGTCTGTATTTTATGTCATAAATGTAACCTTGTGTATATTATTGTATTTTACTGTCTTTTTGCTGCCATGTGTTCAATGGAGTTTTGCCTCTGTCTTTGGAGATAATTTGATTACTTCTAATTATCTCCAGGATAGAAGACTCTGTGGAACTGGTTTTGGGCAGAAAAGCCATGCTTCCTGTGGTCACAAAGGACTATGATCTATCTTTTGAACCACTTGACCAATTTGTATGATTTTGACGTATGTTTGTATTTGGAGTATGCTGATTCTGAAAATGTAATTTTATGTGAATGTGATGCATACTTTTCAAGTTATGAATAATGTGGAAAAATTGTATTTCTCTGCTTGTGCTAAATTACATTACCCATTGTGTAAGGTAATTGAATCACAAGCAGAGGGGAGGAATTTGTGTGGGAGTGTCTGAGTGTATTGTATGTGTTTATTGGTTGTGTTCCAAAACCCTGTGGTGGTACTAATGTGTAAGAATGTGTACATAAGCACAATAAACCCACAGCTCTGCCTGTTCACTGCTTGACCCTCAACACGGAGCTTTGTCTCGTTCTTGGGGGGATGTATTGTATGCTGTTTCTCCCTGAATATATATATAGAAAAGAAGTTGCATCTCATTTAATATAGAAGTTAGAATAAGGTTAGCCAATATAATACACAAGATCCAGCCGCACTCACCTATCCACTAAACAGCAAATCTCCCAATGTTGAAAGATTTTATTTGGGAGTCTAGCCAACTCCTTGGTTTTGCACCCCTCCCTGTCACAGGTGCCTCATCCCAGGGCCCTATTTAGCCTTGTACTGCAGAGAGCCCCAGATGGAATTTTTTTCCTCAAGTAGGTTAATCTCATAAGAGCAGACATTAGGCTGTTAGTGTAGGACCTGCCAAAGATGGGGTACATTGACGTTGTGGCAGGCTTATGCAATGTATGATCATATAATGTAACTAAACCCCATTATTTTTGCCTAGATTAGGTGTTTTTAAAAAAACAAATAAAATCTTTCAACATTGAAGTTGCTGTTTAGTGGATAGGTGAGTGCGCTGGATCTTGTGTATTGTATTATTTGGCCCCCAGCAGCACCCCCATTTATGCATGTTAAGGTGAGTGCAGCCAACCCCCTCTTGTTTTATATATATTTGGGAGTCTAGCCAACTCCTTGGTTTTGCACCCCTCCCTGTCACAGGTGCCTCATCCCAGGGCCCTATTTAGCCTTGTACTGCAGAGAGCCCCAGATGGAATTTTTTTTCCCAAGTAGGTTAATCTCATAAGAGCAGACATTAGGCTGTTAGTGTAGGACCTGCCAAAGATGGGGTACATTGACGTTGTGGCAGGCTTATGCAATGTATGATCATATAATGTAATTAAACCCCCATTATTTTTGCCTAGATTAGGTGTTTTTAAAAAAGACAAAATCTTTCAACATTTGCAGTTGCTGTTTAGTGGATAGGTGAGTGCGCTGGATCTTGTGTATTATATACATACATATATACACATATATATATATATATATATATATATATATATATATATATACTGTGGCGGAACCAACCTCGCCACTGTCCACTGGAGAGGCCTGGTTGCTCGCCTGCTCCCTTTAGACTATGGTCCTGCATTTTAAACTTTTATTTTACCGGCAGAAAGGTATATTCGTGCCTTTCTGTGGACTGTCAAAGGTTCCCCTGTAATGATTGGTTCTACTGTGTCCCACCCTGTGGGATGTCCCATTGCATGGGGACTTGCATAAAAGCCAGTGTGTGGCCATTACATAGAGTTCCTGCTTAACCCTCAAAGTGAAGTGTTGTCTCATTATTGGGGGAGGATTTATTGTATGCTGTTCCAGTTTGATTGCCAGGAGTGTAAGCTGATTGTATGCTTTTCCTGTTCAGCTGTTTCCAGTATTCGGGAGTTTCCTGTTCAGGAGTTGGAGAATTTGTGTAGTTTGCAGTTCGGGAGATTGGTGCTTGCAGTAGCTGTCTGTGCATCTGAAAGGGGAAGATCGCCTAAACTGTTTTTAACCGCTTGTGGGCAAAACGGTCCGTTACATATACATATATATATATATATATATATATATATATATATATATATATATATATATATATATATATATATATATATATATATATACACACACACAGTTGCAAGAAAAAGTATGTGAACCCTTTGGAATGATATGGATTTCTGCACAAATTGGTCATAAAATGTGATCTGATCATCATCTAATTCACAACAATAGACAATCACAGTCTGCTTAAACTAATAACACACAAAGAATGAAATGTTGCCATGTTTTTATTTAACACTCCATGTAAACATTCACAGTGAAGGTGGAAAAAGTATGTGAACCCCTAGACTAATGACATCTCCAAGAGCTAATTGAAGTGAGATGTCAGCCAACTGACATACTATATATATATATATATATATATATATATATACACATACACACACACACATGTATTAAGGCCGTTTGGCCT